GTCTTTACAAAATTAATTAATATATAAAGGACTTGTTTATTTGTTTGTGTTACCAAGCAAAACTAGGGGATGGATTTGAAATGTGTTATTTACTTAGGAATTTTAGGATGGATTTTGTTGTATTGTTACTAGTAAAAAGCTGTTATGCACGAACCGTAGACTGTATCTACATTTTGTAGAATTGTTATAAGTAATTTTATGTAATACTATGTATGTTAGAAGTCATATTATACATATGAAATGCTCAATGTAAGAACCCTTGCCAAATGTTTGGTATTGTTTATGTAAATTATATTTGTAAGCAGGTGAAAGTTTTATACCATAGGGAGTGTGTTTAGTATTGGTTATGAGATGTATGTATCATGTTAAATATTTAATGAATTTTAATAGTAAGTGCCTTATGTTATTACCCTACCACACTGTGTGTAGGATGGTGTATTGTTGAATGTAAATATTATGTTGCGATTTGTATATTATATATTTTAATAAATAATCTGTTACCTATTTCGTTTTGTTATTTTTCGTCTCCTATTTTTTGGTTTCAAAAAATAATTATTAAACATTATTTTTGAAATAAAGATTCTAGGTAATAATTTGTTAAATACCAATGTAGGTTCAAGAACAATTTACAGAATTAGCTATGATTACATAGCTAGTTCTGACATTGGTAGCAAACTTCGCATCAATTTCCAGGGTTGGAAGGTTCAAGACGTCTACGAATTGCTTTTTTTTTTTTACTACAAAATCATACCAATGTAAAAAAAAAGAGTAATACAATAACATTAATCTTCCATGTTTGTATATATCAGCAAAATTCAAACTACCCTACTATTATAGAAAGAGCAATGTAAGTATTTTATATTAAAAAAATATAATTTAAAGTCCCTATTCATTTGCGGATGGTTTCTCGGAGACGTCCATGTAGCCTCTCCGCCTGTCGGTCCGATTCTTGCAGCACAGATATAAAACTGATATAGCAGACACCACAGACATCGCTATCAACGGTATGTATACAGTTACTACCCATTTGTCGGCACATAAAGCGAACATGGAATCTTATTATTTATATTTTACTTATTGTAATAACCTATTAGGTTGACAGCAACTTGATAATATTTAAGTACTGTACTCTTTGACTCCTCTTTGACAATAGTAAAATTATGCCCTTTGAGCTTAACTTTCATAAAGAAAGAAAAAAAAATGTAGTCCGCCAATCAAAGATAGAAAAATTTTGATTCATGTTTTTTTTTTTGCTTCAATTTAAACAAGAAATGGGTTAGGTAATAGACATTAAAGGAGTGGAGGCTCGCTTTTTCACAGTTTTGTAGAAAATGTACAAAGCGTGACGTAATACGACATTTTAACTCAATTTATCGCCGTAATTTATTGATTATTTAAAAAATAGTATAAAAATACGTATTTAATATTCTTAAATAATCTACCTGATGGTCAAATAAACAAAAATGTGTCTTCATCCCTATTGACCAGAGTAGATCAGAAAACTTTTGTACAGGTCATATATTTTATAACATATAATATAATATTGGACCTGTAAAAATATTTAAAATCTTCTTTTTATTATATGTATAAATTTGAATTTAAAATTTATACACGGCATTTTTATAGAAAAAGCAGTCGCCTGATTGCAAGGTTTTGGGTTCCACATTGATGAATTTTATACAAAGATATTTTGAAAAATAACAAACAATACTTGATACAATGAGGAAGTATTAAAAAAAAACATTAGTTCCCGAAATCAAACTAGATGTCGCCACGGTACGTTCTTGATTTCTCCAAGACAACCTTTCCGGTTTCCTTTCGAGTTTAAAAGTAAATTAGTTTTCAGAACTCTTTAAACAACTCATATTCTATTAATACTTTTTCGTATTTGTATTGATATCTAAGTTTCGAACTTTTCAAATTTCAGTTTTTTTTGTTAGTTTAAACTTTAAAGGTACGAAAATGACTGTCTTTGGTCCATTCGTTTCCTGCAAAAGTCAACTTTTGCTAGAGTCGCCATCTAGTGGAGGAGCTTATTTAGTGCTTTCGTTTTTTTAAATATTTTAGCGATGTTTAAGAAATAATGTACTGTCAACAGTACGTGAGACTATACGAAACTGTTTTTGTCTACTTGATTATTAATTAAACTTATGTATTGAGAGTAGAGTTCGAAATCCATTGTGGAAATATGACATATTTAACATTGTGCTTAACTGACGTGTGTACAGATAATATCTCATTTTTAAATTTCAAAACATTTCAATATGAATTCATAAAATATTAAAACTTTTTACATTCCGCGTGTATTCACCATTTTAAAGTTTATATAATTTTGATTAAATAATAACAAAAACAATAAAAATACACATTTATTTATGAATACAATAGCACCAGACTAGTCGATAGTAAGAAATATTTAAAAAAAACATACAGCTTTTATTTCTAAATAAAAATATTTTTCAGTCATATATCTAAAACACTTACAATAGTAAAATTATAACATGAAAGGCCTCTTAGGCAAAACTTACTATACAAAATATTGTATACACATTGCAAACAGTACCTCTTGTACTTCTTCTCTTGTACGGAACTTAATTTATTATAGTACATAGTTTTAAGACAGGTGTTTTTTTTTTTTTCAAAGTACAAATAGAGTCTTGGACCATTTTTTCAAAATTGTCTCAAACTGATCCTGGCATTGTAGGTTCGTGACGTCACTTCTCATGATCGATTGCCAGATAAGATTGACTCTACCGAACATCGCCTGACAGAAGATTTTACTGAAAGTTATAATTATAAAATACACTGTAACGACCGTTTATTTTGTCCTAGGTTTCCGCATGCAAACTTTTTGTCTTTGATCTTCAACATCATTTATTTTTATTATTCACCTTTCGCAATTTGAAATTTTGAGTAATCCAATATGCTCTTTATGATTAGTCAGTTCGTGAAAAAATCATCCGGCGAGAACATGATAATTTATTCATATTAAATTATATAAATAAGAAACATGTAAACGTATCTCTTCGTGAAATATCTACTAAGTTCTACCCATTACGGAAAACCCAGCAACGAATTTTTTTTGATTCATCATCATGACCAGCCCTTTTACGTCCCCTTATGGATGGTTAAGGAGGATGGCCCAATGCGTATTAACGACTGCAAATGCACGACCGGGACCAACGGCTTAACTTGCCTTCCGAAGCACGGAGTAGCCCGAGATAATAATATTTTGGTCACCCATCCTATGACTGACCCTTGTTAAAGTTGCTTAAAGACAACGATCGCGGGCCGTGGCGCTTATCCACTACGCCACCGAGCTACTTTTTTTGGTTACTCTTTAATAAATCAAGTTCTCAAGCTTAGTCGGACTTCTATTCATTTGCCTAAGCATCGAACTCGTCACAACACTAAAGATAAAAAATATATTTAAAATCGCTAAGTTTTTTATGCCTAATTTTATCATAAAAGTCTGTACATGTTACAAACTGAATTGCAACGAATGCATAATGCTAATTTCTCTATACCAACGGTGAGTATGTTCATGTGTATTTTTGTATCAGTTTGGATACAAATTTGGCTGTAGTAGCCCTATAATGACAGCGAGTTATGACGTCACGTAGTATACTTATAAACAGTGTTTCAGATAACATTATTTTGACACTAAAATGATTATTTTAAAGATTAAAAATACAATAATATCATTTAATTGATATACTTTTTTACTTTTAAAATGTATTCCAACAGAATTACGACAGTCCAAGACCCTTATAATGTTACATAACAACAACGTTTAAGTATTAACGTTTTTTGCCTTTCCCGATATTTTTTCTCGTTTGATAGCATATCCGTACTTCTTCCAACCATATTATGATCATAACTAGAAGTGACATACATGTCATACTTTTGTCTATTTATAAAACAGATCTATAAACTTCGAGAGTATAATGTGAGATTGAAAAATCATTTTTGTTTGAAGTATTGAGTTATGGTTAAATTCTTGAGCAAAATTTACATTAGCTACGAAAGTAGTTACATATATGAAACCAAAGATAGGTTTCATGAAACTAATTTCGACGCATGTGCAACAGGGATGACGACTGGGTAAAAAAAGAGATTCTATTTAGTCGGATAATAAAAAAATATTAGATACGTTCTTTTTTTTTCAATTTAACAAGATATAGTTTAGACAACAGGCATTAAAGTTGAGGAGTGGGCGCTAGCTATGTCACAATTTTGTAGAAAATGTACCATAATGTGACGTCATGGTACATTTTGACTCAATGTCTCGCCTTGATCTAATGATTACGAAAAAAATACGCATTTAATATTTTTCAACAATCTACCTGACGTACAAATAAACAAAAATTAGTCGTCATCCCAATTACTTTAATGACAAGCAAAAACAGTAACTCTGACAGCCAGTTGCACAAACGTCCATTAAGTCCAAACGTATATTAGTTTAAAGTGACATTACCTATTTGAGATTCATTAGAGCTTAAAGGCTTCTTTAAACTTTAGTGGACGTTTGTGCTGTCTCTGAGACACTGATTCCGCCAACATCGAAGCTTTAAGAGGCGCAGTTGGTGTCACGACACTAGTTTCGCCATGGAAATAGATCAAATTAGTTGGTTGGAAATAGTAGATACCACTATGGTGTCGTGAAAGTAATGCAGGCATTGCGAAAGTGGAAGCGAAATTAATGCAATGAAGGTAATTTCATGCAACTACTTTCGTAATGTAACCCTGTATACGACCTTTTTGTTTTAAAAATATTATTCTTATCAAAGCTATCATATTATATAGTATCTTCAACTTGATGATTTTTATAAATTAAAACTTCGTTTTAAGTTAGAACCGTTCTGTTTCCTATATATAATGTATTTTCAAAAAAAGATATTTACCCAATTTAGATATAGTTGCACAAAAAACAGACAAGAAGTGTTTTTTCTTAATATAAAAATGACACACTCAATCTTTTATTATGGAACAGATAACATCTACTGTGCCCTAGCTTTTTTCCTCATAGTGTGAACTCCTACATAACAAAACTCTGTGTCGATACCGTTTTGCTGTAGATAGTGCATCCACTGTATCTGCTTCAATGACGGCTTGTCTGTATCACTCTTCACTTCCACGAATCTTATCTGAAATTTGAAAATAAAATTTATTACATACTTTCCAAAAATAATAAAGTAAATAGGTATTCAAAAATAAGCTACGAAACTGTACAAACATTAAACTTTACATTGTAATATACATAGACATTATAATTTAGAGTCATAAAATCACGTGATTATTTAAAATTTTGAAACACAGTCCTTACCTATGTTAAAAATCACAAAGGACATATAACCGTACACGTACACGTTAAGACAAACAAATGTTTATTACTCCGAAATATTTTTTATTGCTTATTAAAATTAGAATGAATACTTCGAAGTACTTTTTAAAACAAAATAGAATAACCTTTTTGTTTAGTGTGATTTATTATAACTCGTTTATACGACTTATTTTAACATTTTACTAACATTTTATCGCTTCAGAACTCGTACCCTACATACGCCCTGTACTAGCGAAAAAGAAACAAGTGCTTGAAAAATTAATCAGTCCTTTTAGGTCCTGGGTAGTTCAATGGATTAGAGCAGTCGCCGGGATTGCGAAAGGTCATGTATTCAAGTACCATCTCAGAATGCCAGGGACAAAGTGGATATTTTAAGCATTTATCATTAAGAATATTTTACAGTATAGCATTGTGAATGCAAAAGTGATCAAATACAATAACTCTATTTAAATTAACTTATGGACATTAATTTTGAAGACTCACCCGTTTAGTGTGTACGTTCCACAGCGTGAGATCTGGGAATCCGGCGGTCGTGTAGCGATAGTCCTGAGCGAAGCGGCGACATAATGCACTGAGCGAGCGAGCGCCCAAACATCGCGACACATCACACAGATCAGACCACTGAACAGAGTCACGACTCAGACCGGACTGCTCACCTAAGTATATATCACTTGAAATTATGTATTTGAATTGTACCCAATTTCCCAAATAACCTAGACTGGATAAACAATAATCAATTTGAATATGTTTCTCTTTGCAACTAAACAACATAATAGTTGCAAAAGAATGCTAACCAAGTCACAGGGGTCATCCATTAATCACGTCAACCCCCCCTTGGTGATACATGGAGACGTTTAAGACTACCCCCCCCCCCCCCTCCACCCGAATCACGTGTATTTTAGTAATTTTTGACGGCTTTTCAAGCCTCATGTGATTAATGGACGGCCCCACATCTAAATAGAAATTGTACGGTTCGCACTTTGAAATAAATACAATTTTATTTGAACAAAACTATAAAGAAACTGGATATGTATTAGGCTAAAAATGAACTCACCCTCAGGTCTCGAAGCCCAAATCTCCTGCATCAAGTTCAATATGTCTTCAATATCCATAGTCTCTATTTTCTTTAATCTATCATCTATATATTGTTTCCTATTTTCATAAAAACTCTTATAAAACATATCCAATGGATACTTTTGAAAACGTGTCAAGAATATTCCCAAACAGTTAGGAGGCTTGCAATATATTATATCCCAGAATAAAAGGAAAAATAATGTGTTCACAATTCTTCCTTCGCAGAACTTTCCTAGAACAATAATTAGAAGTCTATGACAGGAAGTTAATACAATAAACACTAGTAAAATGTGTGAACCAAAATTTTTTTACCCCCCTTTAACGAAAATTATGCGGTGGAGTACAGTCAAGGCATGCAATGTAGTTGAAGTTTATTAGAAGGAGAGCAGATAAATAATACTTGACCACTTAAAATAACAAAAATAACAATTAAAACTTTCCTTAAGCTTCATATACAATATTTTTTGCTCCTAAAAGGACATCGCCGAAAATGGCCCCAATACCATTAAATATTAATACTTCAATAATAATTACTAATTTATTTATTAAATTGGAATCAAATATTTATTTGACACAGACAAGCTGCGATCCAAAATTAATATTTAAAAGTACTTTAACAGTAACATTTTTATTCGCAAATATTCACATTCAATATACTTAAATTCTTTTGAGTCAGATGGATGTAATTAACACGTCAGATCAAGAAGATCATTTATTTTTATTAGATAACCTTTAAATCATCGAACACAAAAACGTTAAATTAAATTGACCGAAAATAAACTTAAATTTACTACAAGCGCCATCTCTTGGTGATTTTCCAACTAAAACATAAGGACATAAAAACTGAATATTATACAAAATAAATTTATTACCTGTTGATAATTCACTCTTGTTTCAATTCAGAAAGATTAATATTCATACGACATATCCTAAAAACTACTTTGTTCCTATTACATTACCTTTATATTTCTCGTAAACATATTAACATCATGTCATTTATGTATTTAAGGCGCCATCTTTTGATGTAAACCATCAAAAAGCTATAGGTTTTTTAATTTTAAGCTTATCAATAGGTATATTATTTAACTATTAGAATGATTTATTTGTCTATTGATTGACTTAGAAACTTTTACAAATCACAATGAAAAACCGACTTTCTTAAAGTTGAGTTTTTTTGCTTCGACAATATAGACATCAATATCATAGAGTGCCATCTCTTGGTGGTTTTCCAAACAAATTATAACCTCAAAATGAATTATATTTTGCGTGATAATAAGTTCTAAAACTCGGTCGCGGTATAATAAATACATAATTATAATTAGTTAGTGACACACAATAAAATAAGTATTTTCCTATATTCTTTTGGCCCTGAGGCCACCAATGTATGGACGTTGAGCAATGTCCTTTTAATATTTGTTAGAAATCAATATCTCAATATCCGCTTCTAAAATTTCAATATTTGAGGAGACTCCCGACAATTTTGCGGTTGATTTCTTGTCCACGATAGTCTTACTGAATGTCAAATATAATCCACAATTAAAATCAAAATCAAAGTCGATATTTTTGATGTACAATTATGAATATTATACAAGCTAAATAGTCCACGGATGCGTGACACATTCCTGGCTGCTGTAATAAAATACAATAAAAACCACCCGTTGGACAAACTGAATACGAATCACCTGGGTATTCGCAGTGAAAAGAAGACGGACATTTTTGTGGCTGAAAATTTGTCGCCAGATAACAAGCTGCTTCACTCCTTAGCACGAGCCCGAGCTAAAGAACTTCATTACAAGCACGTTTGGATTCGAGCTGGTCGGATATATATGCGCAAGACTGACACATCGGAATACATTTTAGTACGAAATTCATCAACACTTGAAAAGTTAGCATAAATCACACCTGTTTTTCGGACGTTCTTTTAACTGATTCAAGCACATTGTGTTGCCTATTTTAACTTCAAAGTGTATTCCCTAAATGTATATTTCCAGAACGTTAGAGGTCTACGCACGAAGACCTCTGACTTCTATAAAAACGTTTTGAGCTGCAATTACGATATTGTAGTATTATGTGAAACCTGGTTGGACAACACCATTTTTGATAGTGAATTGTTTTGTGATAAGTATATTGTGTACAGGCGTGATAGAGAGACTTGTAAATTCCGTAAAAGTAAACTGGGAGGCGGGGTACTCATTGCGGTTAACAAACGCTTCTGCTCTCGAAGGTTGTATGAGGCTGAAAGTGACTGCGAAGACCTCTGGGTGGAGTTAGATTTCCGGGGAAAATATGTTACCAAATTGTACTTATGTTGTGTGTACCTCCCTTCACCCGTGCAAAAATGTGATCTTGACTGTTTTATAAACAATAGTATTAGAGTTCTGGAGTCAAACCGCAAGGCTTTAATTTTGGGAGACTTTAATTTGAGTTCTATTTTTTGGAATAAAAATGAAGACAATGAATTGGTTGCAACTAATCATACGGTGGGAAATACGCTTGAGAGGCATTTATTGGAGTTTCTAGCGCTGAACAATTTGTCTCAGTATAATAATGTACTTAATTTTAAAGGTAAAATTTTGGACCTCATTCTTTCTACTTCCATAATTTCAACTGTACGTTGTAGTGATCTGCCCTTAACTAAAACTGACCCTTATCATCCACCTTTGGAATTCTCAATCTATGGCCAGGAGCGTAAAGGTTTACTGGGTAAAGTCAACAATGAAAGATATAACTATCATAAGGCTGATTATGGCAGGATTGTAGACGATTTAGATTCAGTGCACTGGGAAAGTTATCTATCTTCTTCTGACTCTGTTGATGTAATGGTGTCAAAATTCTATAAAGTTTTGAAAGAGTCAATTGTAAAGCATGTGCCAAAAGGCCGGCCAACTACGGGTAAGTATCCAGCCTGGTATACAAGAGAATTGATTCATCTTTTAAATGAAAAGAACAAACTCAGGAAAAAGTATATCAAATACAAGAATCCGTTGGATAAATTAGCTCTCAATTTAATAAAAAAAAGGTGCACGGATCTGACCAATGCTTGTTACCTTAAATATATGAATAATATGGAGGACTCTTTATCCAAAAACCCAAAATTATTTTGGACACATATAAAAAACCGGCGTCGTAACAGTACTATTTACCCCTCGTCAATGAATTTTGACGGGGTTAAAGCTGTAGGTGGCGATAATGTATGTAATCTTTTTGCTTCCTTTTTTGCCACCGTTTATAGCACCACAAGTTCTGCATCTCCACAGGACTACATGATGGAATTTCCTTGCTCGAGCCAGACTATTGGGGCTATTCAATTTTCTCAGAAGGAAGTGCACAAAGCATTGAGAAGTTTGGATGGAACAAAGGGTGCCGGGCCAGATAACATACCTTCTCTTTTTATAAAAAAGTGCAGCATTCCTCTTTCCCCACCTCTCACCATCATTTTCAATGCATCTCTGAGATCGGGCATATTTCCATTAGCGTGGAAGGAAGCTTTTATTATCCCTGTATTTAAAGCAGGTGATAACTCATCTGTAAAAATCTATAGACCGATATCAATTTTATCTGTATTCTCTAAAGTCTTCGAGTCCTTGTTGTGTCCGCTTTTGTCATGGCATATTAGTCAACAGATATCACCTCAGCAGTCGGGCTTTTTGGTGTCCCGATCCACAACTTCGAATCTAGTATCTTTTCTAGCACAAGTAACGGACGAGCTCGATTCACGCGGATCTGTTGATACTATTTATACTGATATAAGCAAGGCTTTTGACACCGTTAACCATGGAATTCTTCTATGTAAGCTCTCACGGTTTGGTGTTGCGGGTAGACTTCTTGAATGGTTTGCCTCTTACCTAGAACTTCGCACTTCTAAAGTGGTTATGTGTGGTTTTTCATCATCTCCATTTGTTTCTACATCCGGCGTTCCTCAGGGGTCCCACCTTGGCCCAATCCTCTTCAATATATTTATCAACGATGTTGTTCACGTCTTTAAACACGCTACCTGTTACCTGTATGCTGACGATATGAAACTAGCTATGCCAGTCCGCTGTAGTGAAGACTTTTCGTTACTACAGGAAGATTTGAACAACCTAGCCAGGTGGTGTGCTGATAATAAATTAACTTTAAATGTTGATAAATGTAAGCACATTCGATTTACTAGATGCAAGAACATAACGAGTCACACTTATGACATCGATGGTTGTGTGTTAGAGGAGGTGGACTCAGTGCGTGATTTAGGTGTAATGTTAGATAAAAAATTACTCTTTAATAAGCATGTGGATGCCATTGTGACAAAAGGATTTCAAATGCTGGGTTTTGTGCTGAGAAACGCTAAGGAATTTAAAAGGGCTTCCACTAAGGTTTTGCTATTTTCAACATTGGTACGCTCAATTCTGGAGTATGGCAGTCAGGTCTGGAATCCACAATATGACATTTATATTAAGCGTATTGAACGAATCCAGAAAAGGTTCATGTGGCATCTTTCTTATCAGACCCACAAAACTAAGGAACTACATTCATACCGAGATCGTCTTTCTTTTTTTGGTCTGATGAGTCTGAGGGACAGACGATTACTTCTGGACCATATGTTACTTTATAAAGTTGTAAATGGATTAATCGATTGCCCTTTTCTATTGAGTCGCTTGAACTTTAATATTCCTCTCAGGCTCCCTCGTTTGGGCAGATATGTTACGTTTTCGGTGAAGGGTAGTAAAAGTAACCTGGGCCACCATGCTACATTAAATAGACTCCAAAGACAATTTAATCTGTTAAGCAAACAGCCAGAATGCCACGCGGATATTTTTTGCAATAAACCATTGCAATTCAAGCGGGAGGTGCGAGCTCTCATATCTGGACCTGTGTAGCAATATTTACTGTGCCTGTTTTGACATTTAATTTGACATTTTAATCATATTTT